TCATGCACTCTCACACACTATATGGACCCTTTTCCACAACTGTATTATTTATGTGGATGCAGTGATATAAACTGTAACGTTACCTGAGGTATCTCCCTGCAGCACACATTCTCCAGTGTTATGAAGTGTGTGAAATGGGAAAAACTAGTCTCCTTTTCATAACTTAAGTGGGTTTCATTTTCTATGAAAACGAACATTATCAATTAACAACAATTCACTGGGACGGTTCGGACGTTGAAGCAGGGTTGTATGAAATACTCATCCATGGTCAATCCATGGTCAACGCCGGTCGCCACCCCCAGGCGGTATTGTAGGTGACATGCTGACTATGGATGAGTAGTTCATACAACCCCACTCTGAAACGTCCTGCTGTAATCTCCTACAATGCTGTTTGTCCTGGTCCTCTTCACCTAAATGATCATCTGAATCTGATTTAGGCTTAAATTGGTTAAGGTCTTACCACGGATGTATTATTATGTATTGTTCTGTTTGTTTGCCGTCAAAATCAGCCGTCAAAATCAGATCCCAGGCCGCCTGTGCTTAGTCAATCAGATAGTTTTCTGATGAATAGTGGGCGGTTTCTTTGAATACGAGTCAAAGGCGACACAGATGAGTGTAAAAACATTTTTACTGTCTCTGACAGTTTTTCTTTGGTATTATAATAGCCGGAACAGCCAGAGGACACTGGTAGAGAGGTTTCAGAGACTAAATCAAACTGAGACTGTAAAAGTGGGGGACAAAAGTAGGATTTTGAAAACTGGGGCGGGCATGTCCTCATTATTCCCAGCGGAATTACGCATTTGCTCATTATCTGCACGCTGTAAACTTTCACATGAATGCAGCTGGGTAAGACAAGGAAAGGGAAGTTTATCTGTAGCAGCTTTCAACAAAAAAGCAATCCAAAGTTTTCATAAGACATAAATAGCATAATAGAATTTGTATGGTTATCAGTTGTTGTTTAACGCAGAACTAGTTAGTTTGTGTAGTTCTGTTTTTGTCAGTAGTTGCTTTTTTGCCTCTGGACATAGTGTGTGTGTGTGTCTGTGTGTGTGTGTGTGTGTGTGTGTGTGTGTGTGTGTGTGTGAATATCATTACGTCTGCTCTGATTCCTCTGATTTGATCAACGGTAGCTCCTGGGTTTCATATTTGAGGAGCTAATGCCATTGACCATCAAAGGCCGCTAAAGAAAACACTGGACGTTCCTTGTTTGTCACACATTCTGTCTGAAGTTAATTCACTTTGTCCGCTGCACTCACATCTCACAGAGAGAAGAGAGGGAGAGAGAGAGGTACGCCGTGCCTGGAATCAGTCATTGTGCATCAGAGTAAACTTTGGTAAAATTCATGTAAAATGTTTGAGATGTCAGCGGTTTAGTTGTTCTCAGACCCAGTTTGTTAATTGGCCTTCCTTGGATCAGATCCACTGTGTGTTGAAGTTATGGCTCTTATTGGTTAAAACTTTTATCATCTCAGTGGAAATGTGATATGTTATTGTCTCAATTGACCCTTATTTATTTACTGATACTGATACTGATACCTCAGAGTGTTGTCCAGTGTTTATTAATCTGTAATCATGTCGGTGATAACGCACTCAGATGTGCCCTCATATACACCTCTGATTATCGCACATACTGTATATCATGGCAGCTTACACAAATGTAGACTGTTTGTTAAGTTGTTGAGTCCTTTTAGACAATTGTAATGGATACCTCTCTGCAAATCAAATGCTTATTATTCCCTGGCTATGGTTTTATTTTGTAACTCTGCAGCAGTGTTTCAGTTGTGTGGAGCCATGTCTATTTGGTTTTGTGGATTTATTATTTCATCAGTTGCTTTGCTAATGTCTCAGCTCCTATAAACCAGAGAAGGTGGGTTGACTTTTTGGCTGCAGTTCAGCTGACCAAACCTTAATTTCACTGACAAAATAAGGCAATAAAAACCTTAAAACTACTAGGAATAATGTTTGCTTAGTTGCAAAGTATGATATGAGTAAATCAGATTGAGTTGCAGTTTCTTTAAAAGATTGAAAGGGAAAGACAGAATCACAGACAAACACATGCACGGGTGCTGTACTGTATGTGCCGTTGCTCATAACCTTTATCTTTATTTTGCACATCATCCAAGCAGTCTCCTTATTACCCAGCATGGTGCATTTCCTGTTTTAGCACTGACAGTGCATTAAGATGAGCTGAAGGGTCTGTTTCATGTCATTACTTGAATGGATGTGTCTCTATTAGTAGGAGCAGTGTGTCAGGAACAGGTGATACTGACAGAACAAACAATATCACAATATTTTATGACCACAGTTATTAATATCACACTATTCTGGTGATAACTAGCAGTGCTTTCAGAATATATTTACATGCAAGAAATTTTAGAAGATTTATTGTTATTACCTTGGGTATGATGACTATACAGGTGCAGATACATTTATTGCTTGATATTGATGGATAGTCAGTGTGATGAACTGTGTTGTGTGATAGTGTTGGTGTTATTCATTTACACCCTTTTCTGTAAATAACCATTAAAAAAACCTATTAGTTGTTTTTATACATTTTAGATTTTCTTTTCTTTCTGCATTCATTTTCTTTTTGTAAAGTGTATTGAGACAGTGAGTTTCATTGTTCAAAACATGGAAAAAATAAGTCCCGACTTTCTTGAAGTTGATCTTTTGAAGCAAAGAAACATACTGTTTTGTATCCTTTTTAAGAACAAAATAAACAAGTAAACAACGTTGGGCAGACAACATGTTCTGAAGGCGCTCCGCTTCTGAAACGCTCTTGGTGGGATTTGAATATCACAGACTCAACGTCCTAAAGCTGTGCCCGGTGGATTTTCGGGGTAAAAACCCTTCAACTCTAGTTAGTTTACTCAACTATTGCGGGGCAGCCCTAGTAAAAAAAAAAACACATCAATATTGCACTGCACATCACAGACTGATTTCTATATTTTCTATCTCCATTAAACCAACTGCTGTTTAGCTTCTATTGGCACACATTTCTTTTCTCACCAAGAATTCTTTAATTTTTACAGACTATAATGCAAACCAACAAGTTAAACCATGCCTAGAGACTGTTAAGCGCTCGGTACTTCTGCATCTGCCGTCTGTCTTCCTTGAACGACTTAGGGAGGGAAAAAAATTGCTGACAGCTTTACTTTGAAATTCCTCCAGAATAATTTGAGACCCTGCTGCTAATCCTCTTGTGATCGACCTTTGGATCCTGACCCAGTCTTTACAAATCATTTGCTGTAAACTAATTCGCTGTGTTAAACACATTTCCAGCTCATGCCTCTTTCACACAAGCTGTCATAGTCTCGGTCTCCCCTTGTCATTTGGTAAATACGTTCTGTTAAAGAGGAAACTCAAAGGCGCACATGCATCGCTGTGCTGAAAGGTTTTATACATGTAAAGGTTTCAACAGTGGGGCAACAGTAAGGTTTAGCTCGTCTTATTGGTGTGTCCGGATACCTTTTTTTTGAGTTGTTCACTTGGCTGCCAACGGACAGCTTCTGTTTGCACACACGTACTGAAAGTGATGCTGTAGGAAGTGATTGTACTGCTTATTTCCTGTCCATGTTTTTAGCAGTTATGTAGCTGTTGTAGAGCTGCAAAGGAAACATAGTCAGTAGCAGATGGACTACATGTAGTAGCACATTGCAGTATGGAGCATTTAATCAGGCAATGCTGCGAGACTCCAGGGTTTCATTAGTGATGGGCTGTAGACATGAGGAAATATTTATCAGCATTTATGAAATAGTAAGTTAAAACATGTTTTATGCATGAAACATATTTTGCATATATACTTTTTCATGCAACAGAAAACGTATAAAGTGAAATTCGTTTCGGTATGTGTGTATGTGTTTGCATGCTAAGTGACGGGAAGGGCTGCACTTTTATCAGTAGAGGGTTTTCTGGCTACTGTAATAAAATGTCTGTACATTGTTAAGAGTGCTGTTTAAAGGAAGTGGTCTGAATAAGCTCAATCACTGTGCAGATTTTCTACCTACTTTACTGTATGCTTGGATTTAGTCTGTATTTACCGCATTTAACTCTATTAAGGTTTATGTCAAATGTCTATGGCTCTGCAAAAAGTTTGTTTACATTATTATTTGTAGAGGTTGCATAGAATCACTGAACAAACAGTATGCTGCTTTCTCTAAAAACAATAGAAGCCAAAGCTGTTTTTTGTTGGTTCACTGTCACTGTAGGTTTCAATTGTCAGAGAGAGAAAAAAAAACAAGACATTTGTTCATGTTTACAGCCAGCCAGGCTACATCAGGGTAACGATGACATGAAAAATCCCCGCTTCAGCTCACTGCCCTAGTACTTTTTGCTTTTTTCTCTTTATCAGCTTCTCATCATACTAGCATCTGCTTGTAGCATTCAGGAAGCGGTTAACCTTGATGGAGGATGGTAGAGAGGTCTATAACGGCTCACAAAGCAAATGGAAAATTGAGACAGCAACCCATGCTCAGCCATTTAGATAGAAATGGAGAAATTGGCCTGCATTCTCATGGAGTTACATTGGTCCATAACCCTTAAAGCATCATCTTGATGGAGTCCGAATGGAATAAAATGGAGTCATAATGAGAATAACATGTTGCTTTCATTTTTATTTCACCTTGATTTGAAATGAAACTGATGATTTTATGTACATATTTTGGCGTCAAAGAGACACAACAGGCTAAAGACTGAGACAATCGAACCATGTGACAGGAATTCAGCACTGCATGGAAGTTTGAACTTGGGTCTCTCTAACTAGGCCACCAAACTGCATCTCTGTGCAGTTTGCTGTGGTGCATCTGACCAATTCTCACTTTTGAATGTCAATGTTTCCCCAGGGCATCTTTCAGAAGATTTACTAGAAAGTCTTGCGCTACATCAAACTACTTCCACATTTTATTTACTGTTGTAGTTATTAAAGTTTCAGAATGTCAAAGTTTGTGGCTGATATTTTCATGAACACCGCTCAGCCTCTCTGTCTCTGTCTCCCCACTCAGGACGTTCACTGCTGCTGAAAGGATGATAATGATGGTGACGGGAGGAGGCCACGGCCGAAGGTGCAGCCCTCGCTAGAATCATTCTTCCTCCCTTCAACTTCACCCCTCCACCATCATCCACTTCTGCCCCCCAGCGCCATGGCTAACCACCTGGAGCTGATCCAGGAGCTGCAGCAGCTGGACAAAGTGCCCAGCCTTGAGAGGCTGCGGGCGGCCCAGAAGCGGCGTACCCAGCAGCTAAAGAGATGGGCTGTGTACGAGAAGGAGATGCAAAACAAGAAGCGAAAGGCTGACAAGAAGGGACGCAACGCCAACAACCTCCAGCAGTCCAAGAGGCATGTCTCGTTTGCCGCCAGCGTGGCACTTCTGGAGGCATCAGCCAGGAACGATCCAGATGAAGGTAGGCAATAAAGAATATTTACGATGTGTGCAAATTAGAAAGTACAAGTGTAGATGTATGGGGAGTGAAAATGATGACACAGACTACACAAGCACTCTTAACACAAAAAATATAACCACTGGAGTTTTATCGTAACAAGGCAACGCACAAAAAATATGTGCTAGGGTTTCTCTCATAAGCTCAGAGTCAAACCCAGCACAAAGCTCAGTGACGCCACATTTGAATAATTACTCTAATTTCAGCCTCACCTCACTACTTCAGCTGGATATCAAAATGCCAAGGTCAGGAAAACCATTAGCTGGGCCTGCCCACTTAAACTGCCAGTGGAACTCACCCTGTTCGAGCTGAATTTGTTCTGCTAGGAGACTGTTTTATCATTGGGAAATAATGAAGTTGTCACACTGAGATGAAACTCTGCCAGTCTTTTAATTAAAATTTCTACGGATGGTGCCCCCCTATTTGGAGATAATAATTGTTTTCCTTCAGTACAAACAGTCCCATGATGCTGTGGCAGTGCTAACAGTGTGTCAGTGATGCAGGAATGATAACAGGCTGCTTATCATGTAGAGATGACATCTAATTTAACTTCACTTTAACTTGACATTTTTTATCATAAAACACAGCATGTGGGTGTTCTACTGTACATTCTTTGCTTTGCAAGCTGTTTTTACAGATATTGAAACAGCCAAAAGGCTACAATATTTCCACAATAGTTGTCAGAGCAGAAGCAGCTCTGCACTGCGTATACACACATACACACACACACACACACACATATGCGCATGCAGATGGACTGTGAACTGGCATGTTGAAACTCCAGCTGGAGTGAGAGTCAGGAGAAGTCTTGGGGTTTGTGTTATCTGGATGGGCTGTTGGATTCTACCATCATGTGTAACCTAAATAGAGATCTAAGGAAGGAAAAAAAGGAAAGTCTCTTTTTATACTTTAAAGAAATGTCTCAGTTCTGTTGCTGTTTATGCTGATTCTGCTGCCTCATTACACAAATAGAGTTGTTGTCGTGTGGAAGATTTTGAAAAATGGTTTGAACAGCATTAAAAGGTCTTTGTCGTGCACTGCTGTGAGGTGTGTAATTCCCAGAAAATCTGCTGAGCCACTGAGACTTTAAAGCAGGATGTTGTGGCTGTTCGTGCTTCATGTAATTCTTTAGATTGGTTTGAGGTGGCCAGGAACATGCAGCATCTACTCATGTACTGTCGGTTCCTGGAAAGGTATTTTACAAGAATGAGAGCATACAGTATTTAACAATACTGTATGCTCTCATTCAAGGATGGTTTTCTGTAGAAACATTCATCAACAGCAGATTCCAAGGAATTATTATCGATACATTCCATGTAGTTAAGATTTTAAAATGTTATTTAATTTAGTTTCATGCCAAAGGGCAATGTTTTGTGTGCTTTTTATCTAGTTTTGAAAGGGGAGACAAAACACAGGAAGCAATAGGCTGGACTGGGTCATTAGTTTTGTTTTTTTACATAAAAGATATTTGACCTCTCCAGCAAAACAGCCAATCCCTATACAACTTTTGAAGGCTACCTGGTTTGCTTGTAAAATCGAAATCAGTTTTATGATTTAAGCGGGTATCTCAACTGGTGATTGTCCAGCCAGTAGCCTTGACTAAACAAAAGAACATATTTTAGTGTGAGTGCAGGATTTTTGCATGGTGATACAGAAGGCTGAATAAGTAGAAATAACTGTTCCTGTAGATATGTAAATTTACAATTTTTCACTAAAGCTTTGTAGTTATTACATATACACCATTTTACATGTTTTAGCAATGGCTGCCTACCACTTTAGTCACCACTGATGTATCTCAACAAATACTGGATGGACTTCCATGAAATGTTGTACAGACTTTCATGATCCCCAGAGGATGAATGCTAATGATTTTGGTGATCCTCTGACTTTTCATCTAGTTCATGCTTGTAGTTTTTATTGAATTATCTCGACCACTATTAGATGGATTGTCATCCCTCAGGATTAAATGTAGTAACTCTGCTGATCCCGAGTTCTGGTCTAGCGCCATCATTAGTTTAAACTGTGTCCAGCGCTTTGGTTTATAACCTTATACCCACAAAACTAAACTCAGCTGTTTAGTCCTAATTAGCAAATGTTAGAATTCTAAAATGCTAACCCTTATACCCGCTACACACTTTCAGAGTACTTTCACTGTGAGCATGTTAACCTGCTGATATTAACACTTAATTTCTGCCGATTATCACTCACTCAATTTTAAAGATCATCAGTAATTTGGTAGTTTCAACCCCCATGTTTGTGAAGCCCAGTTATGTAAATAATAAACATATATTTACTTGTTAATTTTCAGCATGACTGTTTACACATTTTACAGTTGTGGTACATCTGAATAAATACACCAGTCAGGGTCTCTCAGTGTGCAGCATTGATAGCAGATGTTTTTGCTTTGTTTTGAGAATTACTGATATGTGGAAGCTTTGTTAGTTCTCCTTACTGCTGATGGTGCTTGGGCATAGAAACGTTTGCTATCAGTGCTGTTTAATGAGGGTGACCATGAAAGAGGCAGGGAGATAAAAAGAAAAGGGAGACAGGGTGTAGTGTTGCCCACACAGCTCCAGTGGCAGCTGGCTAGCTCAGGAGCCTGATAATCTCCTCTCTCATTCCCTCTGGTCCCCAAATGCTTTATCAAGCATCCTGACTCCACACGCTATGCTGCTCAAGGCACACTAATCACATTCTCTGGGCTTTCTTTGCAAAAATATTATGTGACAGTGTCATGCATTCTCTTGTACAGTCATTTCACAGAAGGTTGTGTAAAAATAGTACGAAAATTGAATGTAGATCATGATGGAAATGAGTTTGAGCATCTTAGAAACTTTTACGTTAAGATAAATTTTCATAAATAAAAACTTAAATGTAGAGCACTCATCTGCAAAAACATTGACGAGCAGAGCCAGCACGGGCAGTGGAAAGTTACAGATGTGTTGAGAAATAAAAGGAGCTCTCATCTTGTCTTTTCTCGAGGAGAAAGGAAGGGAGAAATAAAAACAACAACGTAGAGAGTGATTGACTTTGACCCCGGGCTGACTCTGCCAGCCTTGAGGCCATAATAAGATGAGAGGTTGGATTGGCTGGACTCACGCCTGTTTAATCCTTGATTGGTTGGATCGAGTGAGATGTTTCCTCTGTCTTCTCTGTGGTTGCAGCCACTGGGTTGGCCGGAGGGTATGTGTGTGAGCGCACGCTAAAGATTGTATATGTGTGTGGATGGGTATGTTTTATGGATGTATTTGTTTTTGTTTTTGTGTACTTTGTTGCCTCACTGTAGCTTGAAATGTCGATAGTGTTATTTAAACTATAGGATCTGTGAACAGTTCAGGTGTGTATGTTTATGTGCTTGTGTTTCAGTGTGTATATTTGTGTGTGTGTGTGCGTGTGCGTGTGCGTGTGTGTGTGTGTGTGTGTGTGTGTGTGTGTGTGTGTGTGTGTGTGTGTGTGTGTGTGTGTGTGTGTGTGTGTGTGTGTGTGTTCTCTGTCCTCTTTGAGCTACAATGTCCCTGTCATTATAACTTCCTCACTGGACGCTGCGGGAGCAGGGTCACCAGGCCGTGAGGAGATTCAGATATAGTAAAGCCACAGAGGACACAATGTGTACTCGAGCTGAAGTTTGTGTGTGTGTGTGTGTGTGTGTGTGTGTGTGTGTGTGTGTGTGTGTGTGTGTGTGTGTGTGTGTGTGTGTGTGTGTGCAAATGTGTTGTATTTGTGAGATGGAGGAATAAATAAAAAGGTGTTTGTGTGAATATTTGACTTAACTTAAATAAACCTTTTTTTAGTGAGTGTTTCCAGAAAAATGTGTCTCTGTGTGCTTGTCTGCTAGCCAGAGAAACACTGAAGAGGGAAGGGTAAGTAGGAGAGGATTGGATGGAAAGGGATGCATCCTGAGTCTGAGCCCATTTCTTCGCCCTCCGGCTCCCACCGTCCTGAACCCTCTGCCCCCTCACTGTGATGAGGCTTGATGGCTGTGAAATTACTGCGAAGCACCTCAGTGTCTCTCTGTGCAGCTCTCTGGCTATTGAGACTGATAGGTTTTCTCCTCTCCAGAGAACTGCTATCCTGCAGAGGAGCAGCCATTGGGGTCAGAAAGGACAGTCCACTCATGCTGACCTGAAATTTCCTCTTTACCCCAGTGTGTTGTCTGATGAAGTTGTCTAAAGCCCTATTCGCACAGGACTAAAATTACCTGGGGACCTCATGTGATTTAGTAATTACCCATTCGTGCGGCGCATTCGCACGGGATAAGCGAAGTCTGTGCTTTAACTTGAATTTACTGACATTATCCCCCGGATATGATGTCAAGACTTTGCGTAACCTAAATAGATAGAAAAATTTCCCTTACCGCATGCTGTCATGCATGTAATCCATCTAATCATCTTTCGAGATTTCGCTCTTCTGATGAATTTGAGCTTGCTCTTTCTGCAAATGGGTCTCCATGCTGTGTACCTAGATGAGCCTCCTGAATTTGCACCCAAAATGCTGTCAAAACTTTCATTTATAATTGCCAACGCAGCCTCCATAATTCTCGACCGGGGTTTTTTGTTGGGGGGGGGGGGGCGGGTTTGGTTGGTTTAAAATTTAATAGTTGTTTTGAAATATTTATTTTATTTTACCACACCGGTTTTTTAATTTTTGTGTGTTATATAAAAAAGGCGCGGAAAACACAAAAAACCATTAAAAAAATAAAAAAACGACCCCAAATCACAGAGATGAACCGATTCGTACGGGACTAATATTATCACATGACCTCTGTGTTTGGCGAAATATGGTAGGTCATTTGCGGTGGAATTTTTATAGATGTAGATATAGATTATAGATGACTTGTGTGAAGTATGGTTATTTACCCATTAGACTCAGTACTATCAGACTTCTGTTTTGCGGCCCGTAGAGCAGCCCCCTGCTGGCCATCAGAAAGAATTCAGGTTTAAGACTCGAAACCTCTTTCCACTAAT